CCTCTAAGGCTGGAATAGTAAAGACCCTCTAAGGCTGGAATAGTAAAAATCCTCTAAGGCTGGAAGAGTAAAGGCACTGCCATGAGGGTAAAACCACAAGCCAGCACAGACAGCCCAGAATGAGACCCACACACACAAGGTCAGTTCATTTTCAATAGAGAGCCCCAGGAACCCACAGTGGAAAGAGCTCTCTCTTCCACAGTGGCCACCGAACACATACTTATTCATGTGTTGTTGCTGCTATGTGACATCAAGTTGGTTTCGATGCACAATAACCCTGTGTGGGGTTTCTGAGAATGGCTGATGGGTTTGAACTGGCAACTTTGTGGTTCCCAGTCCAGTGCTTATCCTACAGCATCATACCAAGGATCATATACCAAAACAAAAACCACACATACACAAACAAAAGGGACCACAGGTATAAATGTGAAAGCTAAAACTGTGGAACTATTGTTTAAGAAAATGTTTCAAAAGGAAAATACAAAATCATATGTTGTGGTTGTTGTTGTTGAGTGTCATCGAGTAGCGACCCTGTATAGCGTTTCCAAGGAGTGGCTGGTGGGTTTGAACTGCCGACCTTACAGTTAGCAATGCAACACTGACCCTACACAGTGACACCAGGACTGCACAAAAGTATATAACATTCAAAACAAAATTATAATGGTCACTGGACTTCATCTAAATTAAAAATCATGTCTACTTCAAGAAATACTATTGAGAAAACATTAAAAGAAGTCACATGTTAGGGGGAAATTTTTAAAATATCTATCAGGTAAGGAAACTTTCATCACAAATATATAAAGAATACTTAGGATTGTAAGACAAACAGCCCAGTTACTTGTAAAAGACAAACATTGCAAAAGAAGATGTACTGGTGCCCAATGAACACATGAAAAGGAGTCTAACATCCCGGGCCATCAGAGAAATGCACATTGAAACTACAATGAAGTGGTATTGAAGAACCATGTCAACGTCAAACTTGCAAAAGTGCAGATAAGACTTTGGCATTATTCCAAGTGGTTCACATATATTACCTTCACTAATTCTGAAAACTTCATATAATTCTTATGTGGTGGCGTGCTGGTGTGGCACTGTAGGATAAGAGCTGAACTGCACAGTCAGCGGTTCAAACTCACCTTACACAAGGCTGCCGAGCAGGAAGTGACTGGTTGGCACACAACAACAACAGCCCCTATACCAAGTCTAAGAACAAGTTCAAGTCCACTGCAGGTGGTGGATTCTGACTCACAGTGGCCCTACAGGACAGTTTGGCAGTTTCTCATGAAGCTAAACATACACAACAAACCTGAGCAGTCTCACTCCTAGATTCACCCACGAAATAGTCTCCGCTAGGCCCTCAGAAAGGCCTGTACTTCCTCAACAACCATGACTTCAAAAGGAAAACCAATTTTCATACCCAACCACCTACAACAAAACATTCAAAGCACTTTTAACAACAGCCTGGCCCTAGAACCCCAATGTCCATCGGCTAGAAACCAGGCAAACTATGGGCGACTCTTCTAGGAACACAACCATTCCATTCACGCGTGCGAGAGCTTTAACAGCAGAAATGATCTCAAGAGCACCAAGGTCAATGACAGAGGCTGATGCAAAAGATGGAGTACTACATGGCTGTCTGCTATGACATGCGACCCAAGACAAGTCTATACATACTAAAGAGATCAGAGACTGCAGGGGATTCTGAGCAGTGGCGCAAAGTTCCTGTGTCGTGACTGTGGGATCCTCACTGCAAACTCTCCACACTGCACTTTCACACTGGCAAATTTGACTCCATGCAAATAATTCCCTAAAATACCTGGCTTAAAATTTAAAAGTAAATAAAAATAAGCAACTTACCGCAGCACTACAACCAGGGAAATTGAAGAAAGTATCAGGACCATGTCTTTGTGGCATCTGATTCAGAACTGATAGCAATTTGACTGCATGTCTCGGCTGAGGAAACACAGAAATAAAGCAATGTCACTGCACAGAGTTAACCATAATACCTACTACAACACACTAGTCACTGGACTAGTTTCTAAGTAAAGGGAAATTAATTGTAAGTCATTTACCCAACTCTTAATTTCCATGAATAATTCAAGGTGATGGCTGTCCAGGGACCAGCGGCTGACCCCAGGTCTGAACGCCCCGGCACTTGGTCCCCCCGAGCCCAGCTTACCCACACTCCACTCTCTCCTCGAAGCATGCTGAACAGAAGCTTCAGCTCCTTGACTGTGATGCTGTAGCTGGCAAGAACCCCCAACATATCAACTAGGAGATCTTCAAAGGAAAAGAAAGTTAGTCTCAATTCCAGTCATAAGCTGCCATCTGTCAAGGCAATACACTTTTTGAAAGAGCAAAACTTGTCGCCTGTCATTGCAATATAGAGAGACACAGCTCAAAGATAACTAAATAATGTCCTCATGAACAACCATTCTCATAAAACGGTAACAGTTACTGTTATCATTTAATCAAAAATATAGTAGGTGAATTCTATGCTTTTCCATATTAGAGGTATCATTCCAATTAAGCTTTCCTATTAGCAAATACATAAAATAGGTTTTACGTATTCTCAGTTGTAGGTAGAGAAAAGAAGGCAGAAATTTGCAAAGGCACACAGACTTAACATGGCGAACCTCTTACTTCCACACTAAAAACTGAAGGTTGAATACATTTTCTTTCAGAATTATCTATTTCTCATGAAAATATATTCTTGAAATATCCTCTTGGCCTATTCACAATAACCTTTGACCACTTACGACAAGCCTCACATTTTTCCAAAGTGATTTACATCAATTAACTTAGCTGTGGGATGAAGTACTGGACAGCAAGGTCGGTTTGAACCATAAGATCGGCAGTTCAAACTCACCAGCTGCTCCTTGGAAACCCTATACAGGGTCACTATGAGTCAGAACCAACTCGAAGGCACTTCACAACAACAACAACAGAAGCAATCCTCATAAGAGCCCTGATGTGATGCTGTAGATAAGCACTGAACTGCTAACAAAACGGTTAAGTTCAAAACCACCAGTCACTCCTCAAAAATCCTGTATAGGGTCGCTATGAATCAGAACCAACTCAACAGCAATACACAACAACAACAATTAACACAACTATGATGATCCTCTTTTAAAATGAGGAAATTGAGGCACAGACAGCTTAATCACTTTGCCCAAGAACTAAGTGGTAGAGTCTGGGTTCAAACCCAGGCAGTACTAACACCAAGTGACTTATTAGATGAGGCTTTCTGCTCCCGTAAAGATTTACAGCCTCGGAAACCCTGTACAGGATCGCTATGAGTCGGAACCGACTCCACGGCACATAACAACAACAATTACATTACTATTCAATTAAAGAAAGCTTTCTTTTTATTGTACGCAGAACATAAACAAGCAGTGGTTTCATTTTATGATACCAGGCTTTCTTTATTAGTACAGCAATCTTGTTTAAAATTTTTTCAATAATATGAAATGACTAAAAACTCTGATCATCTTCTAGTGGTATTTTTCACATTACTAAATGAAAAGGACCTTTAAAAATAGCAAAGGAGCTCTGGTGGTGCCATGGGTAAGCACTTATCTGCGAACTAAGAGGTAAGCAGCTGAAACCCATCAATGGCTCCACGTGCAATCTTCTCTGTAACGCTGAGGGCCAAGGGAGCCCTGCAGGGCACGTCTACTCTGTCACGTGATCACCAGGGCCCCAACAGTCCCTTCCAGACATGACACACCCACAGCGGCCAGTGGGGTCCTCTAGGAGTCTGCAGGCACAGCGCTCAAAGCCGCCCTGCAACTTACAAGTCACAAGACCTCCCCTGTGTTTCCGCTCCTCTCTTTACAGATAATGGGTTGTGGGGATTAACTAAAACTACCTATGGTGTGAGGCTGGCCCAGGATCGGGCAGTGTTTCATTCTGCTGTGCATAAGGTCGCTAATAGGTCAGTACCGACTTGATGGCACCTAACAACCACCACCTATGGTGTTGGGCGCACAAACAAGGAGCCTTGGTGGCACAATGATTAAGATGTGCGCTGTTAACCACAGCTGAGTTCAAACCTAAAAGCTGCACTGCATGTGAAAAATGAGAGGGTCTGCGTCCATGAAGATGCCAGCCTTGGGAGCCTGGGAGGCTGCTCCCTTCTACCCATAAGCTCGCGACGAATGGGAATCGACTCCATGGCAGTGAGTTTTGTTTTAGTAGAGGCTTCGATCCTAAATTTTCATTTCTATAATGAAAGTAAGGTAGAAGCATTTTTTTCTGATGTTCATTCTCTGTTCTCCTATAACTTTCATAACCCGAGGCTCTTCTGGAGGAAAATGCGTCAAATAACAAAAAGTGAAAGTTTATTATTATCAATATTATTACTGACAAAAAGGGATAAGAGAATTAAAGAGTTTAATCAAGAGTTCAAACTCAGCAGCTGCTTCTTGGAAAGCCTAGACAGGGTTGCTATGAGTCAGAAACAACTCAATAGCACTTCATAACAACACAGACTAGAAAAGGGCAGGATGTGGACTTCTCGGACACTGCCATTCTGCATCTCACGGTTCATAAACTACATACCAGTAAACTGCAATGCATACATAACTGGAGCTCACTCTCTAAACTCTGTGAAGCAGCAACCAATTTACTTACACACACAAAAAAAAATTAGAAAATTAAACCCAGGCATAAAGATTTAAAGATTACATAATGTTCTACTATACAATATTGCACATATACACTTAAAACATATAAATGCCTATTTAAAAACTTCCAAAATTTGCTGGTAATGGGATAATTTATTTATTTTGTTGTTGTTAAGTGCTGTTGAGTCGATTCTGACCCACAGTGACCATGTATAGGGTTTTCCAAGGAGCAGTTGGTGAGTTTGAACCGCCAACTTTGCAAGTTCAAACGGCTTTGCTGTCTGGCACATTAATGCACAGCACAGTTTGGGTCACATTTGTATTTATGTTAGCCACTGGTGTGCAATATAAAGAAAACTAATTCCTATCTGTGGAATGTGAACTCGTTCTAAACAAATACATGTCTCCTGGGAAGCACTTAGAAATGGTTTTAAGAAATTCTGTAAGAAAAAAACATCTTAGAAAATATTATTTCAGTTATATACTCTTCTATAATCTGTCTGTATTCTGTTCTACCTTATTTAACGTTTTTGCTCCAGAAATATGAAGACTTATTAAAGGCCTGGGTCAGAATGTGAGGGCTTTTCTCGTATGGGAATGACTCTAAAGAGGCAGAAACTCTGGAGCCCTATCAGAACTCTCACGTCACATGACACTTGTGCTGAAGAGTCACGGGTTTAGAGAACTGACATTGAAAGCGTGAATGCTTTTCTGGGAAGAGCCGCTGCTGGCGGTCTACACTGTCACTGTCACAACGCTTGTGAAGAGCATCCTCGCACAACCAAGGAGATGGACTCACAGGGAGGTAAGGGGAGGAGAGCAGGAAACCACAGATTTAAGCGTCACTGCTGGAATCGAGCATCACATGCAAATATGTTCATGTTATTCTGAAATTTCATGCCTATATAGTTTTGTTTCATGATGTATCTGTGTTTACTTTAATACAAAAGCCTGTATTCAAAATATTTCCATGAAGCGGGCAGTTAGTGTTCCTGTCCGGGTGGCATGCATGCCTATCACGAGAACACGGAGCTGGAGAATTGGCTAGTGTGTCCACTAACCTGCCATGGAATGCTCATTCACTACACTAGACAACTGAGGTATGGACTGGGATCTCTTAACTAGATGAAAGGTCAATGGAACACTACTTAGGGTTACTTTTCTGATAGTATCAGAGCACATGGTATATTTCCTAGGACCCAAACAAAGTCGGCGATGGTCCAGCTCATCAGAAGTCTTCTTCCTCTCTTCCACTTCTCCTTAATATAACGCACAACACTCACCACACATTTCTATTCATCTATTTGAAACTAAGATCACATCAACCAGACTGTTACCTAGTGAATACACAGCAAAATCCCTGAATCTTCATGAGCACTGAAATGTGAGTCGTGTCATTAAGGCCCCATACCTGCTATCATGTCATCAACAGCACTCATTTTCAGCAACACTTGTTCAATTAACCCCACTTCTGTGCTCGTCTGCAAGTTCCGGACACTTTTCCGCAGGATGGCTGTGAACATGCTCCATATCTCAGCTTGGCAGGTGACATCACAGTGTTCCAACAGTTCCGTCATACACGTGATACTGTCCGCATCCTGGATGATAAAGTTCATCTCCAAGTCAAACTCTCCACCAACCAGCTGAAAGGGAACAGAGAGAAAACCACTACTGAGGGTTGCTGAAGGGATGTCCAGCAATCAAAGAAAAGAACAACAAAAATTCAACTAGTAAACCAAAGCTGCTCCCAAACATTTCAAGTCTTCTGGCCTAAAACTCATTTTCATCAAATATTTGAGGGCTGCAGGTAAGTTAAAGGAGTTACAGAAACTAAAGCTAGTAAACACAATTCTAATTTTCAAAGGAATGGCAAAAGCAGATCTCAAAAAAAAAAAAAGCACACAAAACTGAGTGGAATTCAGAACAAATTACTAATAAAGGAAGATTTGGCCTTTGGAAGTGCTAATCACTAGAAGATACAACTTATGACGAATGAATTTTCAGACATGGAAATCGTTTTCTCTTTTGATAATACTAGAGAGACAGATTAAAGTGATAGAAAAAGAATGAGCCATTTCTAATATCCATATATGAACAAGCATGAAACTGATAAAGACAACAACTTGAACCAATGTTGAAATGATGGAACATGTGCTGAAAAAAATGATTTATATATAGAGGTAGTTTAATAGAGCAGCATGCAAGTTCTTTCAATAGCCTTTAAATTAAAAAACAAACAAACTCAAATGTGAAAGAGTAAGGAAAGTTGTTTTAATGGCAACATATTTGACATGATGACCTGACACCAATTGAGCCAACATGGACTGCACCACGTGCTCCTTTAAGGGCTGTAACAGACAAAGACACACACAGTAAAAGACAGAATATATAGGCACTCCTCTTATTTGCTACTGAGCAAATCACACATGAAATATAGTTTGTGGAAAACTTTCATTATCTTTAATTCCATTTTTTCTACGAACTTTTTTTAAGTCCCCTGGTATTCATCTAAGTATCATTTTTGATGAAAAACTGACAAACTGAATATCCTTGTGTTCTAGAGAACAGGATTAGGTAGAAAATTATAACTATACATATGTAAAATGCCTGACAAATTTCAAGTCATTCATTCACCTAATATTTTATTTGTTCTCCACTGATTGTTCTAGGTACTAGGGATATGTTGTTGTTGTTGATTGCCATTGACTCATACTGACCCTACAGAGGGTTTCCAAGGAATATTGGTGGACTTGAACCGCCAACCTTGTGGTTAGCAGTCTGGTGCTTATCTCACGGCGCCACAGGACTCCGAGACAAAAATTGTTCACTAACAGTGCTATAAAGTCCACGATTAAAAATTCATGTGTCATAGGACCACTACTGTAAAAGACTAAGAA